TTTTTTTTTTTTTTTTTTTTTTTTTTTTTTTTTTTTCTTTGAAATTTATTCTACGCTAGTTGACACGATGAACATTGCACCAGAATAAAATTATTTTCCAAGAATTCTTCATTGGAGAATCTTCCCTCTTGCAATTTTAATATTCGACCAATTTTCTCTCTTTTCGTTGTCTCCTCGTTCCTAAAGTTTATTACAACACAGTGAGTTACGTTATCTTTCCACTTTTTTTATCCTTAGAAAACTTTTGCAAGAAATTTCGTTTCTTCATTATTTCTTCTTCTTCTTCTTCTTTTTTTCTCTATGCAATATTATTGATTTCTTGTTCGTGAAACGTCACTGCTTTTTTATTTTGACAATACCAAGAAAATTGGTCGAGGATGCATTTTTTGAAACAAAATAATTCGACTTCTTTTTTTTCTGATATTTGTGCTTTCGAAAATTTTTCAACTCCTTCCTTTTCCAATTGCACCATTCGACGCACGTCACCGTCAAGTTTAACTAACCGCGCTTAATGCGTTCACTTCCTTGTTTCTCCAGGATCCATTAAGTGGATCTTGAGGAGTTGGCTGTAACGTACGTGATCTGAATCATTCTTGCCATCCTTCTCTTCCAAGAGAAATCACTCGGTTGACAGGACAAATTTTTCTCTCGTCAAGAACAAAAGAAATCGCACTCTTTCTTCTTTCTTTTTTTTTCTTTTTCTTTCTTTATTTATTACATATTCATTCCTTTTCGAATATAAAATCTCTCGAGATATAAATCAGCTCGATACTTTTTCTAACACAGGTAGAAAAAAGTTTGGTTTAAAAACTTTTTCTTACGCTTCTTCCAGATAAGTTTCATCTCCAAACGAGGAAAATTCCGAGCGAGAGATTCGGTGAAACGTTGAACACGTAATTGAATGCTAATAATTGGCAGCAGAGATAGATCTCAAAGCAGTATTATTCGATATTCTATGATTTTCCAATTTCACCGCATTCACCCGGTCGACGAGAACAATTTCTCGTTAATTAACGTTTAATTACCGAACAACAATTTGATCATTTGTTCGAGTAGATCTTGGATAAGGATCATCAAAATCTACACGCAAAATGCAATATCGAAATGGATTCTCATCTTCTCGATCTCGTTCGTCTCGATAAATGCGCGCTCTCGATTCCAATTTCGCATTCGGATATTACGCTAATATATCTTATGAATTATGTCCTTTCGTGAGTGTTGGAACAATGGAACACTCGTCGAGGCTTAAAAGCGAACACAGTTGAAAAGAAAATCGGATGATGTTCTTCAACTTGTGTTTCTTTTCGACTGTTTCGGAACGCCAATGGAAAATAAAGAATAACGAAGCTGGCGAACAAGATATTTATCCGTTGTTTGTCACGAGCGAATCTACCTGCTTATCAATACTTACGTAATTATATTTCAAATCCGGATGCATGTAATCGACCCCTGGAACAGAGGAGAAGAAACGGTGTTTTCACAATGGAAACTGCGATCCCGTAGACTATGGGGAACACATGGATGTTTCGAGATTCAATCGAAATCAAATAATATAATGAAAGTTATCGAAGTGAAACTCTTTTCGATAATTTGCTCGCTTGCTAATTAATCGAATGTATTCGAAGAAAATTTGAACTTGGATCATCTATTATTAGATACTGGATCAATTTCAAAAGAAAATACAATTTCTTACATGATAGGTGATCTTCTGTCGTGCGTCTTTACTTCAAACAAGATTGCAACAGAGAATCGAATTAAATAATGGAGAAATTTGAATTTATCCCGGGGATAAATAAATCCCACTTGAATTTGTTAAATTTGTAACAATCCTCGATCGATTAACCGATATGGTATCATTGCCGATGCTTGACCAATATAAATCATCGACAAATTGTATACTTGTCGCAGCTTAACGACGATAGATACCAAGATTCCGTAATAAACGACAGAAAACGACCATCGGTTATATATCACAATATTCGTGTTTATGAAACGAGAATTATGGAACTTAATCACGTATTTCAAGGTAAAATGATATCATTTGTGAGAAAGGTTACGTAACAATCCTCTCGTAGCAAGCACGTGGAGGTAACTTTGAAACAAAATTATTATCAATCGCGAAACAAAGTTTCAAACGATACATCGAATTGACAATAAAAATGTAAAATTTTCAAATGGTATCCTGGTTTTTGTGATAAATTCAATATTATTTTTTTTTCTTTTTTTTTTTTTAATTTAAAGGTATATGATTTTCCATACGATTTAACGACAAATGTTGGTGAAAAAGAGAAAAGAATTCAAAGTATTTTACCAAAATTATTTGACGTTAATTAATTTACGTTAATAAGTTATTTTAATCTCGAGGTATAAAATATTTTCCACGATCCCGTTTCAAGAATTCGTCGAAAATTGATTTTTCGTTTTTGAAATAATGTACAAAAAATTTCGGTGGAGCTGTATTGATCAAAGATATAAACTTCATTCGCGATAGAATCGGTTAGTTGTCAATATATCATCGTAAAGCTGGGGCTGGTCACATCAATTTTAATCCACTGGCTAGTTGGCTATCGTTGAAAACTCTGTATGAAATAGGTGTGCACGGTTTAATCAATCCTCGAGATTTCATTTTGTATTTGGTTCTATTGATGTGACGTATTTTCTTTTTTTTTTATTTTTTTTTTTCTTTTTGAACGAATCGCGTCGTTAATAATCGTGAAAATCTGTAAAAAAATTTATAAAAAAGTCTTTTTATTTTTTTGCAGATGATATCGATAAGCGACCATTTAAAGCGAGATCACTGGGGCCATCACGAATTTTTCTAAATTCTAGATGTAGTATTTCAAAATATTAATACTTTATTACGATCGATATTGAAAGATTGTACAACACAAAAAGAAATCAATAAAATGTTCAATTGTGAAGGATTTAAATTATTCCAGTTTTGAAATTTTGAAGGATTGAAATGAACAACAAGATATGTGACACGTTAATAGAAAATGAAATGAAATTATGATATTATCGATAATTAATTATGATAAATTAAAGTGACGAGAAATTAATACGAACCTTAAACGAGACATTCATGTGTCATATAATCTAAAGTCAAAAAAAAAGAAGCTTTCGATTATTAGAATTTCGAGATTCCACGAATAAAATTTATTAAATTGCGAAAAATCCCCCCAAGAGAATTGTAAAATTCAATTTCGAATAGAATGCATCTTGAAATAATTTAAAAAAAATAGTCGAACAATTGGAATCTCACCATCGTCCATTATAGCCGTGGTCACATTTTTCCCGGTGACACCTTGAGCCCAGGCTGCTTTTACATTCAAATCCAGCTTCGGTTTCCCGCCATTTTGCCCGGTGTTTTTCAAGTACCATTGATATTGAAAATAAGGATCAGACGGGTCTCTGTTGCCAGGATTCGATGGATTTTTAATTTGATATAAGGGCACCAGATTATCCACGCTGAGAGGCTTGTAACCTCTCTTCACCCTCTTGAAACCAGGCTGCTGCACGGCTGTGTGCACCTGAAACATTTTTAAACGAGTTCTCTCTTGCACCAACGCAAACATTCTATCCCCCTTACGAACGAATAACTATACATACCTATCTCTTTTATAAATATTCGTCGAAATCGATTAACAAATATGCATTATATTATTGAGAAAAAGTTGAACAAGAGTTTTCCATAATAACAAAGACGTCAAATATTTCGTTTCCGCGAAAACTGAGAGAGCATTATTGAGGAATCAATTGAAGAAATTGAATATCTTGCTTCGTTTCATTCGATATCGCGTGGGCGATACGAACGATGGAAAAATAATGAATATTTGGTCAAAGCTTCTCGCGTATCTCTAAATGGAGAAGAAATGATGGATCGACGAATACAGAATTCCACGATGAAAATTATATGATAACGATACAAAAAACATAGAGGAACATGGAGGAGTGTTCATCGAGTATCGATGACGAATTTCGCGGAAACGCGACAATTTTACGCCGACAATATTTATCCCGGATCCAATTATATCTTCAGTTTGAAAATTGCGCGTTCATTTACATTTATATCGCCCACCCACGAGCGAGATAATTTCTTTCTTCCGCGTAATTTCCTTTTTAGTAGTTTTTATATACTTTGTATACTTTTGAAATTTATTATCCACGCACGTGTGATAAGAAAGTATTCGTAAAAGATGGATGGATAGGAAATTTTTCGTCGTTAAAATATTGACAATTATCGAATTATTGTTCGAAAGGGAATGGTTCGAGAGTTTCGAAATTTCATCCCCTTGATGTTGTTATCCCCCACTGCTTCCCCCTGCCCCGTTTAAATAATAAATTCGACGGTGTAAAACAAGGAATTTTTGATTCGATGAAAAAAATTCCATTCTCGCGAAAATATGGAAAAAAGGTTATAATATTCGAGGAAGATGAATGAATTTACTTACCAAAGGATCCACCTTCAATCTTCTCATGTGGGGCACGGATCTCTTGCTCCGTGCGTGCGGTAGAGCTTTGTGCACGAAGTGATATTCCGTCTGACTGCCCAATATCTAAACAGACAGGAGGGGGAAAAGCAATTTATATTCAACGTCTTCCCGTTTCGCGTCATTCGTACGTCAGTTTGATAAAATACTTTACAGAAGATAATAGAATAAAATTCTTATTTCCTTACGCAACAAGAATTCATTCACAACGAGAAAATAATTCTCGGTGAAAAGTGAAAAGGAAAAAAGTCAAATTCAAGAACGAGAGTTAACAATCGAATCTACTATATCTATCATTTTGGATTGGACAAGGAAACAAAAAGAAAACAAATTTTTTTTTTTTTTCTTTCTTACCCTCCTGTCTCGCAATACGAAACACTTCAGAGATATCCAACCGGATACGTGTGGTAACAGGAGAATCCTTTCAAGAGTTCGATTCACTTAGGATATTGGAGCACATAGGTAAATAACGTTGTTTGATCGAATTATACGGAACCGAGTTAACGATCGACCGGCGAGCCGATCATTTCGAAGATCCAATCGAATCAATTACGGATAGATAAAGTATCTCCATCTCCATCTCGCAGAATGTCATCGGATTAATAAGTTATTTATCCCCATCGCCTGTTAATTTATCCGATCAGAGGAGTTGGGAAACGTTGAGAAAATAGAAAGCGATCGTCGATCACTTTAAGTAAGTGGCACGTGCACGGATGTAAGGCACCACCGGATCGATCCTGTATCAAAGGGCAACTTTCTGTCATTTCGAACATTTTTTCCTTTTTCGAAAATGGAGAGAAAAAAAAAAATCTCGTCTTGCTCAAAGCAAATTCCTGACGAATGACTCGTTCGGCGACGAGCGTTTCGAGAACGCTTACGAGAGGAGTGGCATTCCATTCCTCGGAAATCGAGAAACAACACACACGTTCATCGCATTCTGGCAATCCCATCCTTGAGACTAAAACTCTGCGACACGCCTACTTGCATTCAAATCCATAATACCAGTCAGTTTTGTCACGATACTAAAAAAAAAAAAAAAAATACCATAATTGTAGAAAGGTTGTATTACGATAGCAAATGGAAGAACATGGATTTGAATGCGAGAGAAAAATATGCGTCGTGGGGCACAACTCGAAATTTTAATCTCTATAGGAATAAAACTTCTCGTGTACGAACTCGATTGTTTCTCGATAGTTCGATATAAAGGAGAACATCTTGTCGAGCTTCGAAACTTTAACAGGAAAAGAAAAAAGTAAAAAGAAGGTAACACGTGGAGGATTATCGATGTTGAGACGCACACGTGACCGCGACTCGAGAAATCTCATTATTGATGATATTGGAATCTCTTCGAGTTCCTTATTTCGTTCCGCGTCCTATCGCATGCACGCAGCTATCTTCCACTCTTATTTATCTATCTAGACTTATGGCCGTAACCCGAGGATTGATGCAATTTTCTGGAAAACGATCGCACAAGGTCGAGGCATCCATGCTCTCCTCCCCTCTCGGTTACGCCATAGACCAGACTTTCTTTCTCGTTTCAACGCTAATGAAATTTGTTCTTCTGACGTTAAAAGAGAATTTCAAATATATCGTGAAATTCTCTATTTACAAATAACTTAAATACTTACTTGTATTGTATTTGTACTTTTAAGAAAATTGAAATCTTATCATTTTTCCTCTATAATATATAATAACGAAGCATAAATATGTTTAATATAGGATAAAAATTATATTTAAACAATTAAACAGAAAAATGATTGAAGAAAGTCGATCGATTGATACAATTCGATAATTTTCCGATCGTTCATTCTCGGTGTTTGTACATTAAATTTCCATAAGTCCACGATTATACGATTGAAGACGATGAGAATAGACGAATAAAAGAATAGACGATGTCAATTCAATGATGTGAATCAATCGTCTTTGGTAATTGATTCCTGTAAAACTTCGAGCAGTCCGTCGTCGACGTTGTCTTCAGATGCCGATGATACGCAGATGATACGAGAAAACAGGATTGGTCAACATGTTCCAACTTTCCTATGTATCTCGTTACAAAGTCACTCGCAGAAGCGAAATTATTAAATTTCTTCTCGAGGAGATCAAAGGCGATCGATATTTAATATCGCGTCGTCGAAATTGCGAGAAGATGAACGATAAATAATAAAAAAAAAACGAAACTCGTGTGGAGTATCATCTAGGAAAAATCGGGACAAATCTGTCCCGTTTTCTGATGAATTGTTTACCACGAATTCCAATAGCGAGGAGAAATAATCGCATCTGAGAAAGAATTTTCTCATTTCGCCACTCTGATTACCACTGCTGCCCTCTTCCTTTCCTCTTGAATCCCATAAAACTTGGCTATTGTTGATAGAAAATTTTATGATACTTACGATGAAAAGCTTTAAAACGTTTTAAAATTTTACGTTTCGATAAAATTCTCTCCAAGGAAAGATTTATTTCTCTCTTTTTTTTTAAATTTATACAGATACAAACTTGAATCATTCCTTTGAGAATTTTTCACGAAAACTTCCCCGATAGAATTAATTTCACTTTGGTGCCTCGCTTCCCCTCAAAGATCGATAAGGGATGGACACGTTTGTTTGACGCGTCAACGAGTAACGCAATATCTTTGAACTTCAAAATGAAATTTTTATCACGAGATCATATATGATAACACGATACGGTTTCGTTTCTAATGATGAAACAAATATTGTATAGGAGATTTTCATCAGAGCCTACGTTATTTAATCGTGCCTCGTTTCCGATGAAACGGAACGAGCCGTACGACTAATAATCCTCGATGAAATTTATCTTCAAATTTATATATCCGATTGATTAACCATTTCCATTAATTTGCGTGAAGAACGATCGTGTAAATATCAAAGCGATAAGCTCTTAAATACAGTTACAAGAAATATTTACAGATGGTTATAATTTAAATATTAATTAATAATTTAAATATTAGTTAATAAATCGAAATGAATTAAATCTCGTATCATTTACTGCCAATTTGTCCTTATAATTCATCGAGATGTTTTACTAAAAATGAAAATGTGAAAATGAAATGTAGAATTGAAAAAAAAAAAAAATTTATACGAATTTCATCCCTTCAAAAAATCCCTCCACTATTTCACTAAACGAATTATATAAAATATAAAGTTATGGAGAAACATAGAGAAGATAGAGTGCCCTTCGTTTAAGCTATTCACCTCGTGATGCAGTTTCGATCTACACGTGTCGCGTAAATCCAATTAGTAACCGTTCACCAAGTACATAGCATCGAACGCGGCATTACAACGTACGTACATGCGTTTATCCAACGGATAAACAGGAATTTGCAGGTTTATCGTTCTTTCCCCTATAGATAGATCTATTTCGATGCATGCGTATGCGATATTATCGTGGTCACGTGCTATCGGAAGCGTCGGATGTGTTTGCACGAAGATCAAAAGCAAAAAAAGAAAATATGAAAGTTGTGGCCATTACGTTTAATTTTCCATCATAAGATTCATCAGAAAATCTTTTATATTATATTTTATTATCAATTGAAACGTAGCGGTTGGAACGGTTAGATAGGAAAAATTAAAAATCCGTGCAAACTTTGCCCGACTTAATCCAGTTAGATGGATAGAAGTGAAAAATCAATTTCTCTGGCTTATTATATAATACATAAATCATCTGCGTATCTTTAAAGCCTTGAGGGAAAAAATAAAAATAAATTGCAAAGGAAAAATTCATGAAGTATATTCAACATTTCCATATTGTGTGTCCACGTTGAATTTGAACGATATAGGATAATTAAAAATGTTTGTTCGATAAAAATATATGTAATCCAAATATAGTTGGATCGTGTGATAATTTCAAAAATAAAGGTAAATAAGAATATATGAAATTTGTGCATCGAGATGTTTATTGTTGCACAATCGATCTTCCATTTTCTGCACAATTCATTTACTTGCACGTATAGTGTGACAAGTCGTAGAGAATGGAAGAGAGGATGAAATCTGCATGTCAAGTGAATGCATGGTCAAGTAAGCGTGATAAAGGCCTGTGTGACATTATGATGCGTACAAAACACGTGCCAAGTCCAGATTATTAATATAACAGTAGCGTAGTTGCATTTTCGATATTATTCATCTTCAATTGACCTTACAGATACAATCTTTACATGCTTCTTTGAATACATGAAGAAATACATGTTGAAACGTTTGCAGCAGATATATATACACGTTCATAGTAATTTTTCAACCCATAAAGAGTAAATCCGTAAAGTAATCAATTATCCTTCGATTAAAATTAATCGAAAATTACTTAAAATCAGTTTTCATTCTGAAAACTTGACGTGTTTTAACTCGTTACTTCGGTAAATTAACTTGTGCACGACTTTTCGTCTGCTCGTTAAAGTTTAGTCTTTCAACACCGGTGTATCCCAACGTATGATCGAATGATAGGGTGCTCATTACTTTCCACGCAAGTTTATTCCTTTATGTCATCCACGAAAATAATCAAGAATAGTAAAGTAATTTAATTAACTTTTAAAAACTGGCTATTACTCAACTGAAAGACGTAGTCGTACGCGGGATGTATATTATTACGAAATGTATATTATTAGAAAATTTTACTAGAAAGATTAAAGGGGGAGGGAAGAAAGAGACTAAAGATTTTTACAATGACTAAAAATAAACTAAATACGCAATTTAGAAGATTAAAAATAGATTGGCTTGCTATATAACCTGCATGCGGGTAATCATCGTTAACTTTTACTTTTACAGTTACAGCCTTACATCCAAGTCAATTTAAAACTCGAATTTTTTGTATTATTTTATTATTTTAATTAAAGACGAGAACTTTCATATTACTTTTGTAGCAATAAAATTGACCAATAAAAACAATCTCTCTAATTAATATTTAAAACATGACCGATTAATAAAGAAACAGAGATAAATTCAATTAAATCTTCCAATTCGTGTTAACCGTGTCCTATTAATAAATCGACATTAATTAATTCCGCCCAATAAAATTTCCCTCGGCTTGAGAACTTACGCTTACGTAAAGAAAATTCGCAGAGTTTATGACCCGCGTAAACGCATTAAAACATAAAACTTTTTTCTTTTTTTCTGTACTTTTCTCCATTCCCCGTTCCTCATACGGGGAAGAACGAGGAAGAAAAACAAAGAAAAAGAGCAAGGGTTTTCACCCCTTGCTCAACTTATACAATGGCGAATCGAAAGGTTACCGGCATTACCGCAACATTCCAATCGATCGACCTATTTAACATGATTATTCCACGCGGCTTCTCGTGGCTAATCTTTTTATTATTATTCGCGGACAA